ACGGATAAGCCGAAGCTAAGAGATTTCCCCAATGCTCTGTTGAGTGTAGGAGGAAATGCCCTTCATGTTATTGGCAATACCTGGTTAAAGTTTAAAATAGGTAACAAAACCTTTAGACACCCGGTGATAGTGGTAGATCTCCCCTATGACCGACTGATTCTGGGTATAGACATACTCAGAAGACTTAACACAATTATTGACTGTGTGAATGGAATTGTATGGTCACAAGCTAAAGTTCCTATAACCTATGAGAAATCACATGTACAATCTGATCGTAACTGCCATGTGATAGAAGAAAGACCTGACTCAATTGAGGTACATTTTAGGAATAGTCAGTCACCTGACGTGACTATCCTGCAGGTGAATGATGCAATCGCACCTGTAGATAAGCATTCCATAAGAATTGCTCCAGAGAGGATCCAGAATGTCTCTCTGGAAGGTGATGTTTTAACCATTTCTCTCCACAGGGACTATGTTGAATCTGTAGATCTGGCAGGTCATGCTCAATTCCTTGCCAGAATTGAAAGGGTTAATAACAACCTATTCTTTCCTATGCAAATACATGACTTAGGAAGAAGTAGGAATGCAAAGCTGGACTTTCAGAGTGAGAACAGCTATATTAGCAGAAGTCTGTTAAAGCAGATCGCTAATCCTAAAATGATCAGGTACGCTTCCCCACATGACAGGTGGATCCAGAATCTGGATGGCGAATCAGAGAGTCACAATGCGATAGCAAAATGTTTACTATCTATTTCCATCGGAAATAAGACAGTTAAACATTTATTCCTAGTGATAGACGAACCTCGCTATCAGGTTTACGTTGGCAATGATGTCATACATCGCTTTGCCATACACCTTGACCTGATTAATTCCAACTTGTGGACAAGGTTAAAAGGTAATCCTTGTGGATACCTTCACGAGGAAAACGCCCTGAAATCAGGACAAATACTCCCATATGCGGTAAGTATCCAAGTACCTGATGACATAACCATTCCACAGGGGACAAGTAATTTTCTTTTACCCCTACAGGTCAAGGAGGGTCAGAGATTAGAAAACTCTGATGCCCTAATCTGTTTATCCAACAGGATACAACAATTAGGGATGGTGGTAACACATACACCAATGGTAAGTATTGGTAAGAACCCCACCTATATCATGGTCAACAATGTTACACCCAATAGTGTTACTTTACCAAAAGGAACATCATTAGGTCTAGCATTGGATGCTGAGTACTATACATTTGGTTTCCAAAACCAAATTATAGGCCTCATCCCTGAAGAATACTTAACTGAGGACGAAATTGTCGATCAAATATTCCATACCTCCCCAGAAGGATTATTCACTATCCTATCTGTGTATCCCTTCAACGTTGAAGAAGGCTCGTGTAAAATCGAAGAAGCATCTATCACCTTCGATCATCCGCTCAATGAGCAGGAATCACGAGAGTATCTCGACCAAAGAGAAAAGGTAAGTCAACACCGAACTGACCTAACTTCTAGGCTTGAAGAAGCTTATGAGATAGGCCAGCCTGAAATCTTTCCAGGATTTCAGGAAAGGCTAGAAGAGCAAATATCTTTAGCTGACGGTTGCTCCAATGATGCCGAGCGACAACAGCTAAAGGAAATCCTTTTGGAATTCCAAGATATTTTTGCCAAAGATTCCTACGACTGTGGGTTAACTAACCTCCACGTAGCCAGAATACAAACTGATCCAAATTTACCACCTGTATTTATCAAACAATATAGACTCCCATTAGCGTCATATGATGGTCTACAAGACATCATTCAGAATTTAAAGGAAAGGGGCATTATACGTCCAGTGCACAGTTCGTATAATAATCCGATCTTGGGGATTCTGAAACCTAATGGACAATGGCGTTTATGCGCTGACTTACGACAGCTAAATAAACGCGTCTATATGTCTGGTTGGCCAACGCCATACATAGACCAATGTTTGGTACAAATGCAGGGATCCAAAATATTCACTGCCATTGACTGTGCGCAGGGATATTGGACTGTACCAGTCCATAATGAAGACCAATACAAATTGGCCTTCACATTTGGAAAGCAGCAGTATACCTGGACCCGTATGCCTTTCGGTTATATAAACTCTGGTCATGAATTCGCTGTGTTCATGCATAAAGCTATGCCTGACGCACTCGAGAGAGGAACATTATCATATGTCGACGATGTCTTGCTGAAAAGCACTTCCTTTGATAAGCATATCATAGAGATCAGACATGTTCTCGCTCAGTTAAGAGAGGCAGGGATTAAACTGTCTTTACAAAAGGCACAATGGTGTCGCACCCATGTCAATTTCCTCGGACATGAGGTAACTTCTGAAGGATTAAATCCCCAGAGGAAGAAGGTTGAAGCCGTACTAAAGGCTAAAACACCTTCAAACATCAGGGAATTAAGATCGTTCCTTGGTATGACTAACTACTCCCGTAAGTTTATAGATAACTATGCAGAAATAACTAAACCACTCTTACACCTGCTTAAAAAGGAAACTACCTGGAACTGGGGGGAGCCTCAGGACCAAGCGGTAAGTGAACTGAGGAGGAAGCTCACTCAGGCACCCTGTTTAGCATACCCAGAGGGGGGTAAACCCTTCTATCTGGAGACAGGATATACCGATTTAAGCATCAGTGCTGTTCTGTATCAGAAGCAGGACAGTTTAAACAAAGTTATTGCATATGCTAGCAAGACTTTGTCACCTGTTGAAGTTAAATTCAACACGTGTGAGAAGGCGTTATTGTCGACTGTCTGGGCACTACAAAATTTTCGTAGCTATATCCAAGGTGAGAAAATAATTGTAGAAACAGCTCACCAACCTCTACAGTATCTGCAGAGTGAAAGAATTAGAGACGGTAATCTCTCTAACAGTCGGATTACTGCATGGACTCTATCCTTACAGGGATGGCCGTTAGAAGTCCGTTATAAACATAATAAGAGAAGCCCAGTTGCCCAAGGTTTAGCAGAATTACATAACTGTACTGCTCCATCTCTGGATGATAATGACACCGGAGATGACTTCCTAGAAGAGCAATTGCTATCCCCTTATAAAGTTTATGACGAGGAATACTGTCGACCACTACCGTGGGTATACATTGATGGTTGTTCATATCACCACGTCGTTGGTGCTGAACGGAAGTTAGTTGCAGGTATCGGAATCGCCTGGACAGGTGATTATCCCAATGTATCTATAGGATACAATATTGGTCCCAAAAGCAGTCAGATAGCCGAACTCTGTGCAGTATATAAGACCATTCAAATGGCAATAGAATATGGTATCAAAGAATTCGTTATCATAACTGATTCCAACTATGTTCGCAACAGTTTCGTTGAATATCTGCCTAGCTGGAAACGTAACCAAATGCTGAAAAGCAATAACAAACCTGTTAAACATGGGAAATTGTTTTGTAAAATCGATGAACTGGTTAAGGAAAATGGTTTAACCATATATTGGAAGAAAACCAAAGGCCATTCTAAAATAGAAGGTATTGACAAGGATGGTAATGACTTAGCCGATTCACTGGCAAAACAAGCTGCCATCAATGGTGAAACCCTAAACATTGATGATCTTATGGGTTCAATTCATGTTGAAGCCATAACTAGACGACAGGCTAGAGATAATGCCGACTTAAACGTCGTGCAATGGAGTCAAGAAGCTCCTAGTGAGGACCTGATTACTAGTCAAAAGAATGATCCCGTCATAGGTATATTCTATAAACATATAGAAGACCCTACTGCCAATCCCATCACAGATGAGGATTGCAAAGATAATGAAGATTTACGAATCTTGATGAGATATAAAGTCCAATTTAGTATCATGGATGGGTTACTGGTCAGAACTTCTAAACATGGTATACAACAATGGGTAGTCCCAACTGTATACAGAGGGTTAATGCTCCAACACGCACATGATGCACCTACATCTGGGCATCGTGGTGATAAGATCACATATGAGATATTGCGTGATTATGCATATTGGCCACACATGTTAAGGGATGTTAAGACATACTGTCAGGGATGCTTGATTTGTCCGCAATATCAACCCCATGGTCCAACCCATCGTGCACCACTTCAGAAGAGGGGGGTGTCATTACCCTGGTCTGATATTCAAATTGACGTTATAGGTCCTGTAACAAGATCTTCAAGAGGTAACAAATACATGTTAACTGTTACATGTATGTACACAAAGTGGATAGAATGTTTGCCTTGTAAAGAGAACACGAGTACCGTGTGCGCCACTTTGTTGATTAACCATGTCTTTTCCAGGTTTGGTCTGCCTCAAAGAATTGAGTCAGACAGAGGTAGTCATTTTACCAGCGAAGTAATGGCTAAGATGTGGAACATTCTAGGTGTTAAACGGAAGCTACATATTGCATACCGCGCTGCGTCTAGCGGGGGGGTAGAGCGATATAACCAGTCAATCGTTAATATTCTGAAGAAATATGTTAAGGAGTCTGGTAAAGACTGGGACATTAAATTGCCCCTAGTTTTAATGGCGATTAGAGCTACACCTAGCACTGCTACCAAATTGTCACCTTTTGAATTGATGACAGGAAGAAAGATGGTTTTACCACAGCATTTACTATATCGTACTTCAGATCATAACTTGATCAATGCTGCCACTACGCATCAGTATATCAAAGATTTGCGCAAGCATTTACAGCATGCGTTTGCTTTTGCCCAAAAGAATCTAGAAAAAGCATTCATGTCATTAACCATTTCCTTGCCATCCAATAACGACATTTTCTAAGCAGGTTACTAGCTTGTTTAACTGCTATTGGCAAATTACTGAAGAGTCAGTAATAAATGTAGTGAGGGATGAAGTTATAAAAATAGAATTAGAGAGAATACATATGTTGATGAATCGTAATAATGTGTTGTCCTAGGCCAAGTGATGTCACACTGTTATACGTTTGTATGCTTAACAAACCTTGAATCATTAGTAGATAAGTCTGAAACGAGTTCCTGATCCGTGACTGTCGAAGGATGTCCAAGAAGGATGTGGCGTGTTTCTGGATCGTACTGCTCCTGTGCCAAGAGCTACGGACCGACCTGATCGCAGAGATGGGACCATCCTCCGGCATCCTGATTCAAGAGACACCAGGGTTCATCTTGACAGAGAAGAGGATCCTGACCCGACGTGTGTTCGTCAGCTTGGACCCCAAGATTTCCATTGAGAAGGCATACAACATTTCATCGATGCAGGTTCCTGAGTTACAGACTTGGTACCAGATGCACCTCCAAAGAGCACAGGACCGTGTGCGAAACATCTTGGAGCAAGCCCGGAAACCATTTGTATCCAGTTCTATTCCGATGAGCAACCGACCCAAAAGGTTCCTCACCGCTATAATTGTTGCATTCGTTTGTGCCACTGTCGGTGCAGTTGTCGCAACTGGAATGTCTGCAGCCAACTCTATTACTGTCTAAAAGCTGGATATGGAAATCTATGCGCTAAAGCAACATATTAACGATATTCATCAGGTGATAAACCAGCAAAGAACACTTCTCCAAGACGTGTTAACTATTGTGGAAGACACAGTTGTTACAACAAATTTGCATTCGGAGTTAATTGCCAAATCCACTGAGTTGCACCAAAGTCATGACTTATTTAAGCGTGAACTTCTATTTCTGCATGACCCAATATTGTTCCACACACTTGCTTTTCTCGACGAAGTGCAAACTGGAATGATCGAATTGGCAGGGGGACGCATACCTCTGTATTTTGTATCCAAGGATATTGTTCATGCGATGCTTGCCAATGTGGATGGAGAGACAATTGAGCCTATGCAATTAAATCTGGCCTTTGAGATGGGGAGCGCTATACCTCTCTTAATTGATCCGGAACGTATGGAGATTTGCTTTTTATTGGCCATACCATATGTAACTCCCAAAAACATTTTTCAAATGAAAACAATCTATAATGTCGGTACATGGAAGGAAAATATCCACGTAAAAGTCCAAACCCCAGATGTTTTGGCTTTTCAACCGTGGGTACCAGATTGGTATTCTATACCCATTTTGAATGACTGTGAGAAATTCAAAGACAATAATTTCCAATGTGATGGAAAACCTTTTGTGTACGATTCTACCAATGCTTTATGTGGGATCGAGTACCGTAAACATGGCTCTGAAACATGTCAAGTAACTATGTCAAAAACCGACAGTAATGCGTTAGTACATGCTATCTTAGTAAAAGATAAATGGTTTGTAAGCACGTGTCTTAAAAACATAAGTGTTTTTCGCAGGGACCAGGTGACTAATAAAGTAATTGCCTTACCAGCACCTGTCTCACTGATCAAGGTACCCCACGACTCTCGTATCACCATCGGTGATGTTACGCTATACCCAGTGTACACTGACGTCATCGAAAGTGCTATTGAGATGGTGGATCCCTTACAGAATCTAGATATCCCTCTAGATCCTAATCTAAAATTCTTGCTGGACCACAAGCCCAACCACACTATCCAAATGTCAATCAGAAAAGATAACATTTCTGTGGATACATTTAAATACTCTGAGCTAGATACTGACCTTATTGCTCGTGTTGACTGGTTCATCCATGTTAAGATTGTTATTGGGTGTACTATGTAATAATGATATTATGGTTGATTGTACTAAGTGTAAAGTTCAAAACTCTTACAGGTACAAATATATACAAAAATGTTCATTCCATGCACGGGCCTATGTTAGAAATGATGTGATTGCACAATATGTCTGGTAACTTCTATAGTGCTTATTCATAAGCTAAATTAATTTTGGCTATGAAATGCACTAAAGGGGGGTTATGTCAGAGTATTTATATCGGCAGACATCTTGTGCTATGATAGAAACTAAAAGTGTATATTCTGAGTCACTCTGAACAGACCAGACTCCATTTTGTTATTCCAAGTTAACAAAAAAAGACACAAGATTTCTTTCTGTAAGACTAGCCACTTTGCCAGAGCTAAGGAATGCATAGTATAAACAAGTGATAAGAAGAATATAATCAATTCTAAACCCAGACAATTGTGACAGAGAAGATTAAATAATTTAATTTTACTGTCTATATATATATATAAGGTACCATTGTATGGAAAAGGGTAAACTTAGTTCATGATCTGCCATATCAGAAATTATGGCAGGAATTGCAGACGCTAAGTCTGGACAAAATGTAAGAAACCCTTTGAAATGTTAAATGATGGCATTATAAAGATAACGCAAAATGACGTCAAAATAGCCACCAGGAAAAGTTAACTCTTTCCTGGATAGGTATGTTTAGTGGGACAAGACTGCCCTCTATAGACCAAATAACTAAATTGCGATCTGGAAGATAACCACACCTCTAGTGCTTCTATTGGGTTATCAACTGATGACGTACAGAGAGTCTGGCCCTTTAAAAGTTAGGACAAAGGGAAGATTGAGGTATGCAGGATATGCAGGATATACAAGGGATGCAAAGGAGAAGGAAAAATAGGAGAGAGGAATTGGAAGTTTGGGGACTCCAACCTCCATGCAGAGAGACATCCAAATAAGTTCCTGAGACTACCAATCGGATGAAATATCTACTCAACTGGTAATTATACTGGTTTCATTTAATTAATTTAATTAATTAAAATGTATTAATAGCATTATATATGACTGGATAAAGCACGGTCAGATTTCCATATTAAGAAATCTTAGTTAACTAAAAAGAATATATAGTTATAAACATTCCATTCTGCAGGTGGAATTAAGAATAATTATATATTAATGTGATATTATCACGTGTTAGCATACCGCTGTTTTTATCCAGGTGTATTGATTTGCTCTAATATAAGATAAGAGATCTATTTAGGCAAATTAAAAACAAACTCTGCTTATATAATATGGTAGATTCTCTTATTGGATGGTTCCAGGAAATGACTAATGAACTGGTTTAAATGTTTTTTTATTTAAAATTACATAAGAATAGATCTTAACTACCTAGGAGATTTAGCCAGCATTGAAAGGGTTATTCTAACTGTCAGCTAAACTTTACGACCTTACGCTGCACTCTGAGGAATTCTGTTCTTCGCTGTGAAAAGTTTCGCTTTCTCTCTGTGTTAAGGAAAGATAGTCATAAATCGTCAAAGTATTGACAGATAATGCTGTTTAAGCCATTGAAACGTATATAGCCATTCCTTTGTATTGCATACCATTTTATACTGGATATTCATTGATTATTGTCATGCATGTTACATGTTATTATTAATTAATTTGTCATTATAAATAAAAATCTATTTTTATTAAAAAACTGTGAATATTATTTATATGGTATACATTTCACTTAACACGATAGCGATATTTGGGATCTGAGAATTGAATTAGTGGGCAATTCTCAATTGTTACTATTATTATCCCATAAATATCCCCACAATATACCCAAGCCAAAAGTGTGTACAATAAAAACTATTTAATTGATTTAAAAAAAATTGTATATTGTATTATCAAAGATATTTGTGCAACAGAATTTAAAACTTTGGCAAATATCTTTCCCCCAAAAAACACGTCTATATTAAAAAAAAACAAACAAAAAAAAACCCCAACCTATCTATATCCATTAATATGACAACATAATTGAGCAATAACATGATTATTTAGAATACCCTAACACCATTTACGAATTAACGCTCCTTTACAAGCTATATTGTTGCTTAAAAGATTTTATATAGAACACGGTTTACTATTCCTATTGGGAAAATATGGCTAGTGATACTGACCGAGGCTGAGCTACAACTCCAACACCAAACTCCGATATATCTGTGTGAACAGCACTAAAAACTGAAAAGCTGCACTCAGACTCCAGACTCCCAACACCATGACCACTGTAAATCACTGAAGTTGTTATGGTGCATGAAGTAATCCTTTAAACTATATAGTGTATCAAGTAGTTGCATTAACCCGTTAAGGACACATGACATGTGTGACATGTCATGATTCCCTTTTATTCCAGAAGTTTGGTCCTTAAGGGGTTAAAACAATTGAGAATTTTTTTATGAAAGTAACAACTGCTCCTTCCCACACCTAAGTTAATGCCTTTGAATCTGGCGGTTAGAGTAAAAACTACATACCCTACAGACTTTCTTGTACTCTTGCTGGCATCGTCCCATGAGCCCAGGCACACTTATGAATGCATGAGAACCTCTTTACATGTTGTCAACCAGCTGCAAACATTACTTCCATAGTGCTGCATACATTCACTTAGACTTGACTATGCTCCCACACATAGAAACATAGAATGTGACGGCAGATAAGAACCATTCGGCCCATCTAGTCTGCCCAAATTTCTAAATATTTTCGTTAGTCCCTGGCCTTATATTATAGTTAGGATAGCCTTATGCCTATCCCACGCATGCTTAAACTCCTTTACTGTGTATTAAACCTTTGCCCTTCTAATTTAAGACCAGTCCTCTTGTTGTGGTAGTTTTTCTTTTTTTAAATACAGTCTCCTCCTTTACTGTGTTGATTCCCTTTATGTATTTAAATGTTTACTATCATATCCCCCCTGTCTCGTCTTTCCTCCAAGCTATACATGTTAAGTTCCTTTAACCTTTCCTGGTAAGTTTTATCCTGCAATCCATGAACCAGTTTAGTAGCCCTTCTCTGAACTCTCTCTAAAGTATCAATATCCTTCTGGAGATACGCAGTGGCGTACTAAGGGGGGGGCGGAGGGGGCGGTCCGCCCCGGGTGCCACCAGGGTGGGGGGTGCCATGACCAGGAGCGCCGGCCCCCCCATGCTGCAGCCGCCCGAGCGCTCTGTAGAGAGCCTCAGGCGGCTGCAGCTTTCCTGGGCTGGTGCGTCCATGAGGGCGGACCGCACCGCCCGGGCGCAGCCTGAGGAGAGGGGCTGACAGGAGGGAAACGCTCAGCGCTCCCTCCTGTCACTCCCTCACTGTAGCGTGGCCGAGCCCAGTATAGTCCGCGGGTATAGGGAGCATCTGTCTCCTGTACCCGGCCGAACTAACAGGAAGTACACACTCAGTGTGCACTTCCTTTTAGTCTGGCCTGGTATAGGAAACAAAAGCTCCCTGTACCCGCGGACTATACTGGGCTCGGCCACGCTACAACAGTGGTGGGGGGGAGGGGAGAAAGAAATTGGGAGGAGGGGGGAGAAAGAAAGACAAATTGGGAGGAGGAGAAGGAAATTGGAGGGGGGGAGAGATTGACATTCATCACACATACACACAATGCACCCCTTGCACACAGAAAAACACACAATGCATTACACACACAGACTCACATACACATGCAATGCAACCGTTACACACAATGCATCCCTTACACACACAGAAACACACAATGCATTCATTACACACACTCAATGCACCCCTTACACACATTCAATGCATCCCGTACATACACAGAAACACACCTTGCAGCTCTTACACATACAAACACAATTTCACACAATGCATTCCTTACACACATA